GACTCAGTTATCTTCCACGATTACCTGTGATTAGCACCTTACCTAACTCATACCAGGTCACTGGGAGAGACAACAGACACTACTACATTGATCGGATCACCAAGCAGACTTCCTGATATAGACTTGTTAGCACTCCAGCCAACTATCAAAGTAGCTAGATGACACATCCTATGTTCTTGGAATTGTAGTAGAACATATCTCAAGCATATGTTACAATATAGGACACCAATGCCAAAAGGAGAACCACGTAAGAGGCTTTGGTGGATAACGAAGAAAAAGTGGGTGCTTTGTATATTAAACCATGAAGGAGACTTCAGGTCAGATATGAACTATATAGACAAATTCCTAGCTGGATTAACTAAGAAAAAAAAAAGACTTGTAACTACAATCAGAAACAAAAGAGGGGATGGTAAAAATAATGCCACAAAAATTAGAAGGATTAAAGGAGAAACACATGAAAGGCTGTATGCAAGCAAATTGGATAACCAGGAAGAAATGGACAAATTGCTAGAAACATACAACCTATCAAGATCGAAGGAAAAATACGTAGAAAGCTTGTTCTGAGCTGTAACTATTAAGGAGATTGATTCAGTAATTAGAAACCTCCTAACAAAGAAAACTGGACAAGATGGATTCACTGAAGAGTTCTACCAAACATTTAAAGCATTATCACCAACACTCCTTAAACTCTTTCCCAAAATTGAAGAGGACAATACATCCCCAAACTCATTCTATGAGGCCAGCATTACTATGGTACCAAAGCCAGACAGAGACTACAAGAAACTGATGCAAATTACTCAACGAAGTACTAGCAAACTGATTTCGACAGCACATTAAATGGATTATACACCATAAGTAAGAGGGATGTATTACTGGAACGCAAAGATAATTCAACATACAAAAATCAACGTGACACACCACATTAACAAAATGAAAGACAAAAACCACATGATCGTCTCCACTGATGCAGAAAAAGCACTTGACAAAACTCAACACCCTTTCACTGTACAAACATTCAAACTAGGAATAAAAGAAAACTCCCTCAATGTAATGAAGGCCATATATGAAAAGCTGGCAACTAACATCACACTCAATGAGGAAAAGGTTGATAGCTTTTCCGGAGTCAGGAACGTGAGGAAAAGGCTTTCTCTTGTCACTTTTATTCAGCACAGCCCTAGAAGTCCTAGCCAAAGCAATGAGGCAAGAAAAAGAAATAAAAAGCATCCACATTGGACGGGAAGAAGTGAAATTATCTGTTTGCAGGTGACATGATCTTCTGTGTAGAAAATTCTAAAGATTCCACACACATACACAAAACTGTCAGAACTCATAAACAAATTCAGCAACGCTGCAGGATACAAAAATCAACATGCAAAAACAAGTTGCATTTCTGTATACTAACAATGAACAGTCTGAAAAGAAAATTTAAACAATTCCATTTACAATGGCACCAGAAAAAATAAACTTAACCAATAGGTGAAAGATTTGTACGCTGAAACTACAAAACGTTGCTGGAAGAAATTAAAGAAGACACAAGTAAATGGGAAGACATCCCATCTTCATGGACTAGAAGATTTAATATTGTTATAATGTCCACACTACCCAAAGCAATCTACGGATTCAGAGCCATCCCTGTCAAAATATCAATGATACATTTTGCAGAAACACAGAAGTCCATCCTAACATTTATATGGACTCTCAATGGAAACTAAATAGTCATAACAATCTTGGAAAAGAAGAACAAAGTTGGAGAACCTCACATTTCCTGATTTCAAAACATATTAGAAAAGGTACAGTAATCAAAACAATATGGTATTGGCACAGGGACAGGCCTACAGACCTACAGAACAGACAAGAAGTAACTCCTCACACATACGCCCAAATGCTCTTCAACAAGGCTGCCAAGACCACTCAATGGGGAATGGACAGTCTTTTCAGCAAATTGCATAGGGGAAAACTGGATATCCATATGCAAAAAAAAAAAATGAAGTTGGACACTTACCTTAGAACACATACAAAAATTAACTTAAAATGGACTAAAGACCTAAAGGTAAGAGCTAAAACTAAAGAATTCCTAAAAGAAAACATAGAATGCTTTATGACACTGGATTTGTTAAAGATGTCATGGACATGACACTAAAAGGCACAGGCAAGAGCAAAACCAGCCAAATGGGAGTACAAAAAACTTTAAACGTTCTGTGCATCAATGGACACAATCAACAGAGTAAAAAGGCGACCTATGAAGTGGGAGAAAATACTTGTAAACCATATCTGATAAAGGATTCACAGCCAGAATATATAAAGAGTTTCTGGAACATAACAAGAAAAAATCAAATATCACTGAAAAAAGGATTTGAACATTTCTCCAAAGACATACAAATGGCCAAAAGTGTAATAAAACAATACTTCCTATCATCAATCACTGGAAAACTACAAATCAACTTCACGCACATCAGGATGGTTACTACCAAAAAGACAGACTGTAACAAGTGTTGGTGAAGATGTGGAGAAACCGGAACCCTGATGACTGCTGGAAGGAAAATAAAATGGCGCAGCCATTATAGAAGACAGTATGGTGGATTGTCAAAAGATTAAACATAGAATTACCATATAACCCAACAGTCAGACTTCTGGGAATATATCCAAGAGAACTGAAAGTAGGATCTCCAAGAGATATGTGCACTCCAATATTCACAGCAGCATTCTTAACGAGAGCCAACAAGAGGAAACAGCTCACGTGTCCATTGACAGATGAAGGGATAAACCAACTGTGGTCCAACCATACAGTGGAACATGATTCAGTCTTAAAAAGGAGAAAATCCTGTCACATGCTACAATACGGACAAGCCCTGAGGGCACGATGCTAAATTCATGCTAAAAAACTAATCATAAAAGGAGGAACACTGCATGAGGCACAGAGCATAGTCAAATTCACAGTAATAAAGTAGAAGGGTGGGTGCCGGGGAACTCAGTGTTTAACAGGTGCAGACAGTGACTCACACGTTACAGAACAGAAACTCTGTGGATAAACGCTTCTGGGTCAGTAGGTTCCCACACAGAAGCCAGTGTTTTAACAGGTACAGAGGACTGGATGTCACCGTTGAACAGGGAAAGAGTTTCAGTCTGACAAGATTAAAAAGTGTGAGAGATGGATGGCGGTGATGGTCACAGAGCGATCTGATCATATTTAACACGACTCGGCTGAACACTTGAGAATGGAAAAAGACGGTCAATTTTAAGCTGTGTGTTTCTTCCCACACATGGATGTGCTTCCATCATTAAGGTCTGTCAGGATTACCGTGTGAGCAGATGGCCCAGAAAGGCCACAGATGCAGACAACACCCATGGCTTCACAGCACTTGTACCCACGTCTAAGGGTGTGTATGTGTGTGTGTGTAATCTAAGAACAGACACATGGTTCCTGTGTGACACGGCCACCGCTATCAGCAGGGCCCTTTACAGGAAATTCTACAGCTTCCAGGAATATTCAGTCTGCACCACTGGATGTATTTATAAATACACACAGCAACACGTGTTTCAAAAATGACTGTGATTCATATCATTACAATTTTGAATCCAAAATGAGTGCTGTAACTGTAAACGTTTTCTCCATTAGCACCTGGAATCCTGAGGTCTGAGTGCACACCTTTCTTTCCCAGAAGAATCTTAAAATGATACCTCATTTCGAAGCAATTTTTGGCCCTGTCATCTAGGATATTCTCGACCTTCTCACTTTTACTGAGAAACAGCAGGCAAGTCAGTGCTGATCGATGTTCAGCTAACAAGCCCCGGAGGAGAAGAGCCATCTTTCCTTTCAAAGGAGAGCAAGTAAAGAAAGCAGTAAAGGCTGTACAAACAGACATGTGAGAAAAGAATCAGTCCTCTCACTTAAAAAAAAAAATTAAACTTCCCTGGGGAGGTTTAGCTGCTTGTCTATCATCAACATGTTAAGTTTGCATAGTTGCTGAAACATTAACCCCGTATCTGATTTTTGAGAAGAAAATGATACCTATTTTAAAACTTTGAAGCAATTCTGCCATCTTTATATAGTACTGATACAAAGTGCAAGTGATTTGAGGCCTCAGGAATCGGTGAAAGCAAAGGATATTATTTTAGGAATCCTTTAGATCCAGCAATCCCACTCCTGGGCATATATCCAGAGGGACTCAATTCAAAAACACACCTGCACCCCAATGTTCACAGCAGCACTACACACAATAGCCAAGACACAGAAGCAACCTAAATGTCCATCGACAGAGGACTAGACAAAGAAGATGTGATATATTTACACAATGGAACACTACTCAGCCTTAAAAAAGAATAAAACAATGCCATTTGCAGCAACGGATGGACCTGGAGATCCTCATTCTACATGAAGTAAGGCAGAAGGAAAGGAAAAATACCGTATGATGTCACTTATATGTGGAATATATTTACAAAACAGAAGCAGAATCAGAGACACAGAAAACAAACTTACGGTTCCCACGGGGGGAAGAGGGTGGGAAGGGATAATTTGGGAGCCTGAGGTTTGCAGATACTAACATATATAAAATAGATAAACAACAAGTTTATACTGTATAGCACAGGGAACTATTTTCACTATCTTGTAGTAACGTATGGTTAAAAAGAATATGAAAACGAATATATGTATGTTCGTGTATGACTGAAGCATTTATACTGTACACCAGAAATTGACACAGCATTGTAAACTGACTACAGTTCAGTAAAAAAAAAAAAAATCATATATATATATATATATATATACAAAAAAAAAAGAAAAAGAGAGAGAAAGAAGCCTTACAAAGACAAGACTGAATCACAGCATACATCAGCGTCCAGCAAGCTGTCTCACGTGTACCTCTGAGCCTTAAAAGGAAGAAATTTTCCGAGAAGTTGTCTAGACAAAAGAAGGAAGCTGGCATGCCGGCATGAGGCTGTGAATGATTGCCCACATCACTAACACCCGCGAACACAGCCGTGAGGGCGGCAGCGGACAGCACCTGGCAAGAGCGTGGCCGTGGGGAACACCTCCTTCAGCCTCGCCTGGCTCTCATCCACCAGCTCTTCTTTGGACATCGGGAGCTGCAGGACGTCTATTATGATCTGGGCCGCCTCCAGCGCCTTCTTGCCCATAACGAGGGACTTCACATCCCAGCTGTATTTCTTCCCATAGCGACCACAGATTTCCTCGAACACCAGGGAGTAGAGCCGTTCGGTGTCTGCGGGAACAGTGAGACAAAGACAGAGAGGCTTTTAGGGTGGGCGCTGCGCCAGCACCTCGTCTGCATCAGTGCGAGCGGACATGTACGCAGCGCAGGTCCCGCTCAGGGAAGAAAGCTCTCGCGGAGACCTGTGGACGCGAAGACCCACGGACACAGGGGGATTGTTCGCGGGTCATTTTGCCTCGACGAGGCCCTGGGCGGCCCGCTCTTTCCTGCTCTGGAAGGCTACAGGTTGGGAGGGAAATGAAGTCTATGTGACGGTCAAATTACCTGACACCGACAGGTACGTAAAGTTCAACGATGCACTTGGAATGCTGAACTCCATCCGACGCGAGATGATGTCCTTACCTGGCATTCTCGAGTGTGCTTACAGACAGCAGCACACAAGGGTCTACGTGTGTGGCCGTCAGCTGTTAGGGACGCTTCCAGAGCCCCGTGGGATTCCTCCCTATAGGAGCGCCTGGCCCCGGATGCAGCTGTGACAAGACCCTCCCGTTCAGTTCTGAGTGGGAAAAGCACAATGTCTTGTTGCTCCTTTACTCTCCCACGTTCCCCACTCTCAGCACCTCTGTCACTAGATATGGGGTTCTTCCCACAGCAAACAATTCTGCAATGGAAGTGGGGGTCCTGCAACTTAACTCACTTTGGAGGCTACAGTGGTGAAGGCTTCAGTCCCACAAGGTGGCCACGGCAGCCCCAGGCCTGCTTCTCTGGGCAGGCGGGGTACCTGCCCTTCCTCTGCTCACCGTCCCCTCTCTTCCTACTGCCACCGCCCCCCGGATGTGTTGTGTGACGACTCCCCATGGCCCGTCTCCCCCGACCAGCCCTGGACTCTGAGCCCCACAGTGCAACGGTTTGGCCTTGACAACGTCCAGCAACAGAAAGAACTTTTCTTTCCTTCTTTTCAAGGCCAAAGCACCCACGGCCGAGCTGCAGGTACAAATTTGTCTTTAGCGCTTTAACTATCTGGATCCTTGCTTTTGTATTGGGGCTGGATTGTTGGGGGTGGGGGTGGGGATGCTATAAGACACACAAACAAGTATATCTCAGATCTCCACCCTTGCAGACACCTGACATTGCTCAGCCATCACCCCTGAGTGGGTAATGAGTTCTCAGTTTTGTTTTGTGTTTTGGTACAAAAGAAGGTGGCACGTAAGTCCTCCTGGGCTCCCTTGTGGAAGCAGCCAGTGTGTGGATAAGAACCTGGGTCTGGTTTTTCCAGGAGCCACCCTGCACTTTCGCTCCTTAAAGGAGCGGCAGGAGAGAGGGGAGGGCTGGTCCCGTCCTCTCCAGGTGATGAGTGGGCTGGCCCGTCACCACAGCTCTTCTCCGTCCTTCCCCGGGAGGGCAGCAGAGTGGGGGCTCTGGGGGCCAGGAGACGGAGGGACTGCTAGGGAGGCTGTACACGTCACCATCTTTACGTGGACAGTCTTCTTCTAGTAGCTGAGACAGAAAGACTGACGAAAAGACATCGTGGCTACCAACTGACTGAGGAACTTCCAATGGGCTGAAAAGCGCAGAGAGGGGGCCAGGGAGGCGAGCCGAGGCCGGGCGGGAAGAGGAAGCACCGTGCCTCGTGCTAAAGCAAGTGGACCAGGAAGAAAGGAACGCACATGAAAAAACCCTCACTCTGAAGACAGAAAACAGCTACGCTTTTAAAATGGTTTAAGCAGTGTTTACCTAAAGCTTCAGCTTGTAACTGAAAAGGCACAGCACTGTGGGGTTATACAGCGGGAGGAGACCGTGCAGACAGCCACTCTTCCTCACAACTGAGATAAAATCCCCGCGCACTCTCGGTGGACTAATGAGGCCCTGAACGCCGCTGAAGTCCTCAGGTCCCGCAAGGACGCAGCCAGCTGACGGTGGTGCTCAGAAAGGAGAACGTTCTCCAGAAGCCAAAATAATGAAGCAGTGTAAAACAGCTGTGCCCCACAAGCTTGGAGCTTTGCAACCTGCGTCCCTGTTAGGTTTCACAGGAAGCTCCACGCGGCCATCAACCTGCCACAGCCCCACGAGCGGCTCCCCTCCTCGGGTGCCTGCGAAAACCACGTCTACGTGGCACCCAGGGAGCAGTCCCGCCTGCTGGTCAGGAAGCGGAGACAGGAGGGCCCCGGCTCAGGGGAGGGAACGCAGCCTGGGGGCTGGTGTCTCCCTGGTGTGCTGCACGCCGGCCCCAGCTGAGGAATGGAAGGCATGCACGCTGACAGACACTGAACTGCCGTTACAGGTGTCACCGCACCTGGAACGTCTCTGTTCGTCTGAGCCTGAGGTTCTGTCACTGCCCCGTGTTTAGTAACACCTTTTGTCACGGACGACGCATTTAAACGTTGGCTGAGTTCATCCCCGGCTCTGAGCACAGATTCAGTTTGCATTTTCCCCTGTGAACGTGGAAGGGGTGAGGGTACGTCCCCACTTCTCTCTTGCAGGAAGCTGCACCCCCGACCAGGCAAACAGGCACCTAATTCCAACCGTAAAACCGTGAGTTGCTGTTTAATAGCGAAACATCTCCATCAACCCATCGGTGACAATTACCTCTGGTAAGCCCCGATTCCTCTGCCCACCCCCATTTGTTTCCATAGCAGACCTAGAATGCGGCAGCTGGAGAAAGCAAGGACGTCTGAGATCTGAGAGATGAGTGGCAAATTCCTAGCCCGCCTCCTTCTAGCTGGACGCCCTGGGACGAGTTGCTTACCCTCCCTGATCTGTAGTTTCCGGCGGGAGCACCGGGCTGAGGCCCGCCGGCCTGCAGGCGCAGGTGTGTGAGAGGGCTCTGGGTGTGGGAGGCGGCGCGTGCTCCGACGTCAGGGCTCTGCAGCCACCAGCTGCTGAAAACCGGGGACAGGTACTCAGTGCTCCCCTCCCCCACTTCTGGGCCTCGTTTACCCATTGGGACAGTGCGGACACTAACACGGCCACACACCTGCCAGGCGCATGGGACACCTGGGTGGGATGACCTGTGTGGAGCTCTGAGCACAGCCCCGCCCCAGTTCATGACTCCAGCCTCCCCGCCTGGCGTCGTGGGGGGAACATCTGCCTTGCAGCTGCTCTGCGGTTAGAAGTCATCTGTGAGTTAGGAGGAAATTACAAGCCCCGCTGTCTCTCTGTACATCACGGCTCCAACAGCGGCAGAGAGCTATTCAATATGAGAGGCTGGGGCCCTTGTTCCAAATGTTTTACTTGGAAAAAAAAAGTGGTAACTCTTTGGAATGCATTCACAAAAGTATCGCACGTTCCCAGCACACGGGACTGGCTTCATAAATGTTTGTTAAAGAATGGCCCCGCCTGGTACAGGCACATAATCCCGTGTCTGCAATCCCATAATCTGTAACTCTTTGGAAACTGAGAAGTTTTCATTTAGCAGCAAAGATGGAAGGATTTTCCATGTCTTAATATTTATAACCCTTGGCGTGAATCTTCACATGCTTCCCTGTAAAAATACTAATGGACTTGACTATGGATGCGGACCCTGCCCCCCCCCCCCGCTACTGTATACATCATGAAATACAGGCATTCTAATTCCTCTTTAGAATAATAATTTAAGCATCTAAATACAACTCGTTCCTCGGGCTTTGGAAAAGGAAACAAAAACCATTTTTCTGATTTACTTACACACCTTCCATAGCGTGCCCACCTTGAATGAAGCAATCTGATGTTTTTCAGACCTTAATATATCTTGAAAATAGTCTTGCTTTGATTATTTTTAATTACAAAAGACAAAAAAAAGGAAGAAAAAAGAAGTGGGGGAAAAGCTCTAAAGCCAGTGTTTTGTGTCATAGTTAGTTCCTTAAAGACACAACATAGATTTTCACAGCTGCGCTAAAATCAAATTGTCGCAATCTGGCAAATACAAAGATACAGACCATGTAGCCGACAGATGTAGCCCATTGTGTGCTTTGTCTCACCCAGAAATGTAGCAGTGTTTTTGAATGTGGTGAAAGCTACATTATTTTAAGTGTGAAATGGCTTTAATAGTAAAAACCCAGCACATAGCACATTTTGATAAACGTGGTGGTGTCATTTTTCTAAGCCACTATGATAGGACATAGTAGGTAATTGGTAATTGAATAGACTTCTTTATAAATTCACTTACTTTGTTCATCTACAGATGGTTTCCTTAACCCACTGGTTCTCAGAGTGTGGTTCTTGGACCAGCAGCATCAAGAATGCAAATTTTCGGGCCTCACCCTAGATCTGCGGGGTAGAAACCGGGTGGGGCTCAGCACTGTGCGTTTTAGGAAGCTCCCCTCCCCACCTGCAGGGTGTGTGTCAAAGGTGAGAACCATTGACCAGATGTTATGGTTTTACTAAAGCCCTTCGTGGATGCCCCGGGCCTGCCCCGATGTCTCCTCCCACCTGACCCTCCACAAGTCAACCCTCGGCACACTCTCAACCGGGCGGTAGGACCCCACTCCCTACCCAGCGCCGTTCACCTCTGCCCCAGCTGACACATGCTTCTTCACGCAGGTGTATCGGGTCCCCACCATGTGACAGGCACTGAGAAAACGTGACAACTTGGGCAGAAACAGCCCTGCTACGTTAAATACTGTAACTCAGTGATTGGGACTGAAAAGCTTCTTAATGTTCGTCGGAAAAAAACCAAAGAGACAGTCAAGTACTTGCAAAGGTTAAAAAAAACCCAAAATGTTTGCAGAAAGAGTGGTAAAGGAAAGGCTAGTGTGCAAATCAGTGTTCTCTTGAGCTGAAGAGCTACTGGGATGCAGCCCTCTGCTAACCCCAGGGACCTGGGGGCCCAGGAATCTCCTCTCAGGCCTGGAAAGGGAAGCCATGCAGAGGGTACATCAGAAGCTGCACCCGGAGTCCTAGCATCCTGGGGAGGAGAAAGGAAACAAGATGAGGAGAGCAAGACGCCAGCTGCAGCAAACACGGCGAGTATCCAGGAGCTGAGGGCACTCAGTCGCTCTCTCCCGGGGCCACCAACACCCTGCGTGCTTCATCCACACAGAAGACACGTTCAGTCTCTGCCGTTTACCCTTTAC